ACAGAGACAAGTGGGTTTAAAAAATAATGTCAGCGAAATTATCACAAGATTAAAAAAATTCTTTTCCTGTTTTTACATTATGTGCGTTGATAACGTATATAATGAAATAAATTTAATTACCGAAATAATAAATAACTTGAAGGCTATGATAAACCATATACTATGTGATAAAATCAAATACATATTGAATATATTATATATTGTTTATATATCATTTAATTGAAAAGTGACACATTTCAAAATTAGCAACTTAGTAGAGCATTTAAAAAATTCTAAATTACATCACGATTTAATTAAGATAGTGAATATGCAAAACTTTCTTTCCCTGTTATACTATTAATTATAATGTATTCTTTAAAACTATGTCATGAGTTTTTAAAATTCGAACACTGCAACCCTAGCGCAGTATAAATTTCATGTCTTATCAGAGTAACTTACACTTTTTCATATAAGCAATCACTCATCCATAAAATGGAGAGCTACAAATTTGTGTTGTTTTTTCGCAAAAATGTATTAGTCTTTAGGTGAATTTCCTTTCATTATCTTAAAAATGCTAATTTTTTACTTGAGTTACTTTTCTAGCAACAAGATATACGACAGATGCTTTATAATGCGATATAATAATCAATAAAATTCTGTCTAGCTTTTTCTTATCCTTTGAACTATATTTATGAAAGAGGCTGGTTTCCGTCTGACCAAGGGTTCTATAAATATATAATTCTATAAATAAATAATTTCTTGTTTAACAATATTCTCAAGTGTAACGCGCGCACTTTACTAGAAGTTCGTTTTCTCAACAACTTAACGATGTTAAGCTAGCAATTTGAGTTTATCGAACGTGAAGACTACCGGGCTGCATTAAACGTTAAACATTCGTCTTCCTCAGAGGAGTTGCAAGATACCGATGTTCTCAAGTCAAAGTCGAATTTCAGTCAAAGTAACGTACCAGTATAAAGTGATCTCTTCCTATATTTTAATTTATTGTATTAATTTACCGTATCAAATGACTGCAATATTTATATTGATTTATTTTAACTTATTTATTTGTATAATTAATTTAGGTGCTTGCGCAAAAAATGCTTCAACATGGCTATAATACATGTTTATGCATTTAAATTAAATGAATTATTGTTTTGCAAATATGTATAGATTATTTTTCTCTTTCTATATTAATATGTAATATTACGTTTATTTACGCGTACATTTCTTTATTTACATCTAATGACAAAATATTTTTATGATTTTTATTTTTTCTTTTTACAATAATTATATATCTTCTCAAGAAATATTATAAAGAGTAAATAAATATTTGCCGTAATCGCAAATGTACATAATTAAAATAAATTACAAATTTTCGCGTAGAGATAAAAAATTATATAATATGAGAATATACATAGGTAATGTTATTCCATAAATTTTCAAATTCGATGCATCTGTGAGCGTGTTTATGTTAAACCACGTGCGAGTAATCCCATTGCAAGCATTAGCTGCTGAAAGTTTAACCAATGTGAATGAGAACGCTGCGTATGTTTATGGATTTTCATCAAAATTTCAGAGAAAACGTATCGAGGCAATATTTTCTACTGGCGATGGAATTTCTGAAAACTTTTCTCTTGCTGGAGCATCTGATTCGATTCAAGCACACGTCCTACCTCGAGTTACGTAAATCCCTATGCGTCTTATCGTTCAATAAGAGATCATGCCTGCGTTCAATTGTTTTGAGGAGTGACAGCAACTCCCTTAATGCAAATTTTTACATTCTTCTTCTTTCGTTCGGATTTTTTATTTTTAAAAGAACCGATGTCATGATTTTACCGTGACCGATTCCAGATGAGCTAGACATAATATTGAAGTTCGAAAGTGAATGAACGGTTGCTTGAAATTTTACGACTGTAATTACCATATTTATTTTGCGGAGAACACGAGCGAATGAAGAAATTCGTGGAGAATTCAATTCATTACTCTCGAATTGTGAAATTTTATGATGCGGATTACCATACTTATGAGACACGTTTTCTAATACGCGAGCGCGTCTTTATCGACGTTACGTATTATATTCCTATTTTTTTAAATCAATTTTATATTTTGTAATAAGGAAATGGGTTAATTTGTTATCATGTTAAGAGGAAGTAACGATCTCAATTTCCTACTTTTACTCTTCTTTTATTCTTTCCTTGTATTATTATGGAGCTACACAGGCTGAAACTAACAAGCAGCGAAGAGCCACTCCTATAAAGGCCAAAATACACTTTATGATAGTGCGAAGCAAAAATAGAGTGCGACAATAGGGTGGACTGTTCATGTGACGAGATGTTCGACCCTTGTATGAGCAAATTGTCACGTCAGCAATGACAAGAAATTGACTGTGTTCTTGCCAGAAATTGTAGATATCTCGTAGAATAAAATTGGAAGTATATTTATTTCAAAAAGGAAAGGTTTTAGTATTTTTGTTTCAGAATTTGCTATCACGCATTAATATATTTTATTATATAATCAGTTTTACCAATTATATAATGCCAATAAATACAGTTGCATGCTACGCGGATTTTGATTAACTTTGCAAAAGCTTAATTAAAGATTGTTGTGATAAATAAATTGCAGTTCTCGGTAAACATATTTATAACTCATTTTGATTGGCTGTCTATTGATATGTAATTCACCTAAACACAATTAACTGCACTTTATTTGCATATAAATGAACGGCGTCGTGACATTAAATGTATTTAATCGCGACTTGATCTACTCTTTGTTGATAAAATTTACGCGACGTATAATTTAAGCAAAATATCACAACAAAATATTTATGTAACAATAGTTAGATATATTTGCATTTTACGATGAATCGCAATTGTATTAAATTCTGCATTTACACAAATTGTTCTCGGGAAAACGTGCAGCAAAATCACATAAAGGGACGGTCGATGGCTTTAAAGTGCATTCCATTCAATGCCATCCCCGTATTCTGCGATAATAATTCTTCCACTGGCTTTCCGTCCGGCCGCGATAGTAACGCGAGATCAAATGCGAATCTCTGGCGGTGGGGGATGGTGTGACGTGGAAGGAACCTGCGTTTAATCGGACACGAGCCACGAGAGAAGGGGCACTTCGGGACGCATGCTCCTTCCATCATTGTCGTCGCCGGCGTCGCGACGCCCAAGTGGCCACGGTCGAGTCCGCCGCGAACAGTGCGCGTTCACCTGTCGTTCCCTCTCGTTACCTTGCCTGTTACCTCGCAGGTCCGCGTTTCTCTCCGCACGCAAGGGAATAACGCGGAAAGGTGTAGCGTGCTATTTCCAATCTCGTGGCATTGATCGTGTCTCTCGCGGTTATCGCCTGTCGCTCCTTCTTCCGAACGTTTCGTCGCGCTCTCATCAGTACCGTCGTTCTCCTCATCGGCGAATTGTCATTTGATAAGGGGCGAGTAAATAGTGGAAAATTATCCGAAATACAGGCTGTCATTGTAGGATGCTAAACAAGTAAATGAGGTAAAGAAGTAAACAAATGTGCGGTTCGCGCGTGCGGGAGAGAACGTGTCTCGAATGCCGCGTATACGTGCTCCATTCAAAATTTAAATTTTTTTTACTGAAACCTCACGGTCTCTCTCGCTGTGCCGCTGAATTTCAAATGCATCTCAAAGTAGGGATATTTTGTTTTTTCGATTCTAGTTCGTTGTTATGAAATCGCTTGCTGCTATCATGCCGAAAAACGCCGACACGCAAGAAAATATGAAAAATTGTGAACATGTATTTTATTTTCATCAGGTCGTAAGTTCAAGAAGCTATCAACACTGTTACATCATTTCGTTCTTGTTTTGTGTTTAATAAATAATAAAGACAAAATGACACATAGCGTTAATAGTGCCCGAATACCATAATACATATTTTCGTTGTATGTATTTATTATATAGAGTAGTTTTTTGAAGATATGTTATCAATTTCTAAGAATTAATGTGAAGATTACGTTGGAATATTAACTTAAGATCAACATTTAGGATAATTTGATAAGAGTGTAATATATAAGCAAAATAATATATATTGTACCAAACATTCAATTGCTTGAAAATTAAATAACTAAAACTAAAATAAATTACGTACTGTCATATTAAATTATTGGAAACAGTAAGATTTTATTTGTATAAAGATACACAATTTTACAAGAAAATTTGGTGAAGTCTTGTATACAAGTTTTTAAAGAGACTAAAAATATAAATAGTAACATTCTCGTCACATGCGATTTATATATATATATATATATATATTACTTGCTCAAAGGAATTATATAAACATACATATATTCTCAAAAATTTGTATACACTTTATATAAAATTGAATTTTATTTTTGTTTTATTGCGTGTTTCATGTTTTGTTAATTAAATATTTTATTACACTCCTGTTTACGTATTTAGTTGTTATAAATTATTCACAAACACATTGTGTAGAAGCAGAAATTAAATATGAACAAATACAGTAACATAAATGCTTGGTAGTTGCAATTACTGACTGTATTAATAGAATGTTTTGTATTATACAATTTTATAAAATCAATACCATTTAAATAATATGAGACATTATCTGCGATTGAAATGACAAAGATGAAAAATTTCAGATTAATATCGGTTCTCAAACATTTCATATTTTATTGTATTTCATTGATTTTAACAAATAAACATAGAAATATAAGAGTTGAAAACTTAAAAAAATCAGAAAACGAATTTTATTCTTGCCTTCTTCATTTCTATAAAAATGTCACGTGTGTTAATGCATAAATACTTAATTAATGACGCTATTTAATAGTAGTTTTGCTCCTGTTTTTTTCCGTATAAAACAATATTTTATATATAAAAAAATTACTTCTCTGTATATAAATGAGTTTATATTTAAGCTAACTTATTTATAAATAAATTTTAACTCTTCTATTTTTTTCTTACAATTAAATAATTATACAGGGAAAAAAAGAAAATGTGATTCTACTAATTAAAATGTTTTCGGGATTAATTACAGTAAGAGGTATCCGAATGGAACGAAACGCTGTCTGTGCCAAATCGATGAGAATCCTTGCGAAACGCATATAGAGACACCCAACGTGTTATAGCTGTATCTTCCACCGTAAAGCGACCGCGAAGCGTACCACGTAAGTAGTATGGGTTTCGACCTTTTCCTTTCTTTTTCATTGAGGAAGCAAAGAGTTTAGTGTCGGTCCACAATAAGGCTTTTAAGCCTTACACTGTAATATATTGACAAATTACAATCAATTATTCTCCTCATATTCGACTATGATTGGTCTATTTCTTACTGCTTAGGGCTTAAAATCCTTATTGTGGACCGACACTTACGCATCTTCTGGATAAGAAGCATTCGACTTTTTAAATAAAAGCTGAATTTTTCGATGTACCGATAGCGAATCGTATAATTTTCGTTTTACGAGGAGAAAATAGTATCTTTATTCACGTTGCAGTTTCTCACAAATTCAAACGGGGTGTAAAAAAGCATAGTTTTTACATAAAGTATTTAATACACATATTTTTTGTAATATTTGATAATTACAATATTTAATCACCGACCGAGCTGCACATGACTGTCTGATAATAAACGCGACGTTAAAATAATGTTTAAAAAACTTTTAAATAACGTTTTGCGTGTGCTAATGTAGCTGCTTCTGTTGGAGAGCTTTCTTTGGAAGCTGTGATCGTACTTTCCTTTTTGTTGCCTCGGTTTCATTTTTTCTTTTAGTGCATTATACAAAACATGTATAATGCTTCATAGTGTATCTTTTTTTTTCTTCCCATTTCTCATTTTCTGCGTCATTTGCTATTGTACTCGAGATATGTAACCGTGCATATAGCCCCTTGTTGCACAATTTTTTCTTGCCGCTCCTTTTTGTGTCAGAAGAAAAATGTCTCGTTGTTTTCTTAAAGTGAACTATATATTTCTTGTATAACTCAATACGTTATAATGTCTTTATTTGTCAAAAAAACGTTTTCGTTTTCAAGTGAACATTTATTGTTAAGGTTACGCTAAAGCCGACAGCCGAACTCCATAATGTTGCTGTTTTACCGACGATGTGCATATAAGCGTGTGATATTGATATAATATAATGTGTAATAATACATTTATGTTTACTTTGATATCACATCGATATTAATAATATCGCACACACATTGTAACAAATTTTCATGCAAAAATTTCTCGAAAACTATCTAAATCTAATTCTACAAACTCCATATACTATTTTTTCACATAATCTATTAGTCTAAAGCCACCATACATCATAATATATGTATATATATTATGATGTATGTGTAAGATATATATATGAAATATTCCTTTTCATTACGTTTCATTAAAACATAATTCTTAAATCCTTCATATAACATAGTAGATTTATTTGTTTATTTGCTGCATTATCTGCAGTATTTCACTAAATATTATTAAATATACATATAACATCATTAAAACGACGTTAGTCTCAACGGATTTATAAAATTCATATTTTCCAACTGTTACAAAAATAATTTTAATATGAATAATATTATGATTATACCTTGATATCGCAAATACATGCTCTACGCGTAAAAAATTCAAGTATGGACGCAGCAGTGGATCGCGTTTGAGTGTGTTTTGGCCTTAACGCAGCGTCGTGCTCGATGTAGACAATTGAGGATCTTACTTTTATAGGATTCCTTAGTGTCGTTTGAGGAGAAGCAAACAGCAATAGCACGTTCACGATGAGAGCGTGCAGGTGGAATTCGAAAGTACGATATTAAAATCCTAACCGGCATGCCCTACTTCTTTTTGCGGCCATTTATAACGCATTGCTCAAAGCGCGAATTCCATTAGATCGTATTTTATGCAAGAACTTCTGAGAGGATGCGCCAACTGCAACAGTCTTATGTACACATAGAAAAAGGGATTATGATAAAGCTGTTTCGCAGTTTCAACACGTATGGCTAAAGATGGATAAAGTTATGCACTATATCTCAAGTTATTATGTCTTAGAATGCGCCACGTGGAAAGAACACAAGCGAAATTGCATGCAGGCTACGTAGCTCTTAATTTCTGAGTAGCTCACGTAAAAATTTTAGTCGCGTTTTCCAACCAGATTTAAAATTGTTTCATTATTTTCTGTTATTATGTAACAACGTGGAATATGATTTAAAAATTGTTTAAAAACGTACTTATTTACATAAAGATCGAATTTGTATTGCAACTGTCTTACGAGGATTAAACGATAGGGCTTTTACGTAATCATGCATTATGCAAAAGATTACCAGATATTCAAGAAACTTTAAAGCGGATTATTCGAGAGTATAAATCGTTTAATATATGTACACCCCCGCGTATTATACGTCGCTAATGAACTGAATGTGCAGCTTATTTCTTTAAAATCAATTTTTGTCATTTTTATTATTTTTTTATTTTTTTTTTTTTAACAGATAATTTATCTGGAAGTAGGTACATTCTGTTGTTTCTTGAGAGAAACGAAAAATTTACTGCGACAATCCGATGCGAACAAAATGTAAGAGCGAAATCCCTGTGTAGATGTAGACTGAGATTTATACGCTAAAAGTATTAAAAAATATCGCGTTGTCAGCTCATTGCGAGCGGGCTCGCATATCATAACCCGGGATCCTTAATCTCCCGCAAATCCGCCGATCTCTTTTTTTTTTCTCCTTTTCACGTCGTCAGGCTTAGCGCGGGACGCGTGTTAAGATTGAGGGAAGCCGGCGGACTTGATAGGCGTAACGTCGTCTCGTTCGAGAGCGCTTAAGTAAATATGCATCAAGTTGTCTCGCGTGTCGCGACCTATGATCGATCGACGGTGTCCCGCGTCAGACAGTAACATCGTAATTATTGTCATAAATCTTGTCCGGTGGTGCGCATTAGGGAAGCTAAGGCGTGAAGCGTGAAATTCCCACGGGTTCGCGCGTCTATAATTAGCGTGGCCGTGTCAGGCTCATTTCGGCCGCGTGTTTCTCGCGTCTCGCTTCGGAAGATTCCGAGATTCTCTCGTTGCTAGGCGATAAACGCCTTATCTCGCCTCTACCTGCCCGCGCGTTTCCACACCATCGACAGCTATCCAAGGAATATAACTTGCGAATATTCCCGATTATATACTCGATCTTTTAATTTCGCTATTGCCTCTTTATATAGCGGCTTTTATCGTAAACCGACTTTACAACCTCCCTTCGCGGCATCACCTTCGCGTCGAGGCTCGTGTGATATTCGATGTCTCCGATCGCACATAATTTCAGATCTTCGTTTCTCTGCACTCGAGTAACGGAAGTATGTAGAAAATTTTCAAGTTAAGGGGAACATGTATGTGTTTCAAATGCTAAATAAAGTCACAGTTGCTGCGATCGATCAATAGTACCTACCCCGAGAGTGGCTCAAATTTAAAATAGCTAATAATACGACACGGTGCAAGTAATTTCGGCTGTTGTTGCCAAGATAACGTGGCGACATTAGATTCGGTTAATGTAGAAAGTTTGCAGTCCGGCATTCCCCCAGGCACGTTAAAAGTGTATAACCACTAACTGTGAATGGCTTGAACCCTGCGAATGGCCTTTGGTCCAACTCAGGCGACGATATTTTCATTTTATGGTAATGTGCGCACGTATTTTGCCGGTCAAAACGCTTTCTCGTGATATTGCGTACGAACTTTCTTTTATCGCCGTGACATTCCTTTGAAATGTTGCTCGGAGTAACGTTCAATTTTGCGTGTGCATACTTTTGCTTCTAAATAAGCGGAATGCTTGACGCGCGCTCTTTTGTAGGAATAATCTTGGTCAGCAATAAGTATGATAAATTGCAAAACGCTCGGGCTGAATCTTTTCCTCGCTGAGAACGCTGAATTTTGTAACGCGCGAATACTATTGGAGGATACTTTCTCACACGCTTTTATATAATTCTACCCTCTATTATGTGGATTTACCTCGCACTTGTCACATCGCATTGAATATTTTTACCGAACTCTTTTTCGTAGAAAACGCAAGATTGTCCGTCGGGAAACGAAAATAGAATGGTTTGTACGTGACTGAAATTGCGTCCCTGCGCATCCGTTCATACACACCGCTCTCTCTCTCTCTCTCTCTCTCTCGTATAACTTCGTATATGTATG